GTTACGGCTAAGGCAAACCAAACCAGGTATCAAGGATGATCTGGAGAGAGGATATGGATCACACTTGGATGAGGCTGTGTCTGCACAAGCATGGGCTCCTCCTTTGCTGCAATATGGCACCATCTTAAGAGCTAAAACCAAGCAAGCTTTCTGCTGACTACTCAGATGTTAGTGTCTGCACACTTCCAGGGACTTGTCAAATCCTAGTCTTAATTCATCGTCAGTCCCCAAGGTTCAAGCCGTGGTCCATGCTTTCCAAATCTCAGTTCAAACATCAATTCTCAAGGACATTTACCCTAACACTGCAGACTAGATTCAATCCATGCTATGCATTCTGAAAACCTGGCTATCATTTTCTCCAAATTACTCACAGTTAGAAGTTATGTATTTCTGTGATTTTATTTATCTTTCTCCTTTATTAGACTATAAGCTCCTTGAATATAAGAAGTGTGCTTGTTTCTGCTTAGCATTGTGTCCTCAGTTCCTACACTGAATCTGGCACACAGTAGAGGCTCAGCTAATATTTGTTCAATGAATGAATGAATGTATCCTAATCAGATATGACTAAAAGGTAAACAAATCATCCCATGATGACTAATGATACCAAGCCTTCAAAGGCCAGCAGAAAGTCACAGAATCCCAAGCAACTTCTGACTGAGCTCCTTTCATAGGGAAGCACACACTCCCAGACAGCACCATCCGGAAGTAGACCAGATAAAATTTGGATCCATCATGAATGTTTAATTGCACTCTTATCTTCCACATACAATGTCAGTATTTGACTTGCCTTGTATGACCATGGGAGGCTTTCAGAATTAATTTCTGAATAACTTCTTAAGGTTTTTTGGTATATTGACTTCAGCCAAGGATCATTGGTATTTCCTGAGACCGGAAAGTTTTGGGCCTCGTGCGTAAACAACATCTTGGATCAGGCACGGAAATTTCAACAGTACTTGGCAATTTCCTAGCGGCTTACAACTGCTGATCCCGCCAACACAGGGAGTTTAGATGCAGTTTCCTCATCCCTCTAGTTTCTATAAATGTCCTTCCTGCAGAAAGCAGTGGCCAGAGGCACAGAGAATAGTGATGTACTCAAGTTTGCCTTCTGTGGCTGAATTGAGAATTAAATCTAGCTCCAGTGAGGAAGCAGCAGACCATGCATTCAAGACCAGTTACATAAGTGGTTTGAATCACATTATTTTCTATCAAAACTGTTTTATTCATTTGCGCTATTCCATTTGTAACATCAAGGTAAGTGGGAGATGGGAATGTGTCAAGAAACAAAGGCTCTGGGGGATAGCACAGAATGCCCATGAGTAAATCTGTAAGACTCCACTGATAACTGTTCCTTTCATCAATATCAGGAAAAAGGTCACCAGGAAAGACATGGCTCTGAGGAATCCAGAAGCCACTAGATCTTCTCAAAATAGAGAATTTCCTCAGAAAGAAGCAGAAAGAGGCCCAGATTTGAGTCAAAGGGACCCAGATATGAATACTGGTTTTGTCACTGAGCTGTGTGACGTTGGGCAAGTTACTTCACTTTTCTGAGCCTCAGTTTCCTTATTTTAAAAGCAAAATAATAATATCTGCCTTCTATCACTGTTTCAAAATTAGAACTACCGTGAAGAGAGACTCCAGACTGCTGTCTGGCTTGTAGTAAGTTCAGCTGTCATTTCACTGGCCATCTCCAAATTGCCCTCACCACTTCTCCATTTTTCTTGGTTACCATCCTGGACCATGCCGGGTATCCTTTATTCGTGCTACTGTTTTTCATGTAGTTTGCTGAACTTAGAAGTGTCATTTTCTTGGTTTTAATATCTATGATAGTAATAACTTGAATTGCCTATTAATTGCATTTTGTGGTCTCATGGTACGAGAGAGAGCAAGAGCAAAAGTGAGAGAGCTAGAGAGAAAAAAAGAGAGCAAGTGAGGGCAAACAAAGTCCAGAGACAGCTACATAAAACATATTTGATTATGTGCATCTGTCAGAAGCAGGCCAGACTCACGGGATGACCAGGAATAAGTGCAGCTGGAACAGAACCCAGATGTCTTTCTTCTGGCCCCTCGTCACATTCACTCCCACTTCTCTTTCACTCCTCATTCCCACTTCTCTTTCTCTCCTCGCTCCTTCACTCCAGATTTGGTCCTCCTTCTTTAGAATCCCAGCCTTCCACCACAACCACTTTAATGAACTTTGGTCCTGACCCTCATGCCTGTCATCATCTTCTATCTAGTCCAGAGTGGTTCTCATGTACTCTCTGGCTCTGTCCAGGCCCAGCATTTCCTCCGCTGTCCCTTCTCAATTGAGCCCACTTTGGCTTCCAGTGTCTGTCCTTTTCACTTCTCCTCAATAGGTGTCCTAAATCCACCACTGACTCAATGTAGTTCAGGACCACTGTTCTTCCTGCCTCTAGTTTTGTTTCCTGTCTAGCTCATTCTTCCTTTTCATTTCTTTGAGCCAGGGGGCCCAGGACAGTCTCTTGCTAATGTTTGCACACCGCAGGGTTGATCGCCCCATGCCACCACAGACCTGACCAAATGTGAACTTGACTTAGATCTTGCATGGGCTATGCAGGTACAAAAATCCGGGCTCCTGCCATCAAGCAGCTTACATATGATTGACAGATAACACAGACATATTAACGACATAAAGGAAAAACAGACACAAAAAGTCTCATTTGAATTTGAATAATGTTCTCAGTAGATCATTATTTATCTGAGAGTGAAGGCACCAAAAGAATCCAACAAAAACAATGGTCCTAACTGGATTATTTTTATGATTACTTAATTCCAAATTTATACTAATATAATGAGTACAGTATGATTTGCTAAAGTACAATGCATAGGGAAAACAGAATCTGCTAAGCTAAGAATGACCTGTCAATGATTCCATAAAGACCAACTCGCTTAACAGAGACTGGATGACACAGAATTTAAGGTACAACTGCAAGGATATTATAACAATCTTGATGGTGATCAATAAGTTCATGATTCTTTATAGTTTATCTATTTCAAAAATAGCAACTATTTTAAAGCACTGAATTTCAAGTATACACATACAGAGATACACATACACATAACCTGCTATGTCATCTTTTGTCAATCATCGTACTTTTTAGTTACATATTTCAAACTTTAAAAATATTAGATATAACTCACATTGTTAACATTTGGATAATGGCATTTCCAATGCACAAACAAGGGCTATTAATCAACAAAAGAAAGCATACGATTTAAATAACTGAATTGCAAAATTAAGAAAGCACATCAACTTTGCGTATTAAGGATATGTAGGAAAAATATTCATAAAGCATCTGTCATCTGTTTCAAAGAGGAATGCTTAATTAGAATACAGTGACCTCAATTGGTCACCCAGCTTAAATGGTTCAGGATTGTGTCCTGACTAAAAGTTGCCATGGCAACTAAAAGTCAAGTCAAACAGCTGCTCAGTCTGTTGCCTAACTTTGTTCACCTAGTTAAAAGTTTTCATGCTAGATAATATATTTCCCACATTTATACTTATTTTTTAGTTTCTAGGAAAATATGTAGAGGCATTCTGGCTTTTTTCTTGGTACAAGTCATAGTTCATTTGTTATTATGGTTACAAATAAGAAATATCCAAAACAACAAACAAACAAACGAAACCAGATAAGAAACATACCAGATATTTCTAAGTAATTCTAGACATCTGGGTGTGCTGAAATACACTTCAAATTTGAACGTTTCCTCCCGCAATGTTTGGTCCGTGTGCATTAAAATCCAGTTAAGCAAATCTTTATCTCAAAACCTGCTATGTGGAGAATCTGACCTGAAATGAACATCCAGATATTTTTTCATAATTGGGGGAATTCCAACATGAGTGAGAGATAAGACTTTACTTCCAAGAATAGACATTATCACCCTTTACTTCCTGTCAGCTAGAGTGTGAGCTCATGCCTCTGATATTTGAAGGAATGACCTACAGGTTCAGGGTCAGATTTACAGAGTTGAGACCCCAGTCGTGTGGTCACAAAGGACGCATGGTGACAATGCCAACCAGCAGTGATCAGAGAGGGTAACTCCCATGGCATATCTTTGACTATGCTTCACTTCCTCTGGTTTCCATCTACGCCTGGTCTATTATCCTACAAATGGAGGTATGGGATATTATTCCTATAAATTTATATTCTACTTAAGTTAACCAGATTAATTTCTGTTTTATTCACTAATAGAATCTTGACTAGCACAAAAATCCTAGTAGAAGTTATTGCAATTTACAGAGCTATAGGATAATGAAAGAGGAATGGATAAAACAATACATGGAATTTATTATGTAGCTTATTTGCTGACAAAGGCAGTGAAAATATAGCTAGTGTTAAAGGATGGGGAACACAGATGCTCTTGGCACAGATTGATGGCATGACTAATGAAATTGTGACCTATGATGTGATGATATTAGGGAATTTGTGTTCAATGTGTTAGGTATAGTCACGGTATTGTGTTTATGGAAGAAAATATTATTTCTTTAAATATGCATATTTCCATATTTGCAATGAAAAGCCATTTTGTCTATAAGTAAATTTGGCAATATATTTGTAAACATTAAACATAAGTGATGTATATATGTATTTTATTTATGCTATTTTCTCTAGTTTTTATGTGGCTGAAAATGCTTAAAATAAAGATTCTAAAAATTATTACTTGCAATTACCTGAGAAGATCACAAACCACTTGGAAGGAGGGGAAACAAGTATCCATTGCCATAGAACAATAAAAAGTGTCTAAAAAATTGAAGGATGAGGTCCAATGACAATATTATAACCCTAAATTATTAGTTAAAATTATGAATTTAATTATAGGGATTAATATAATTTTGTAAAATTGCCTCTAATCTCTTATAGCTACTTAGCTAAAATAAATGAATAATAAGCACTAAGTTCTATCATGCGCATTGTTGAATTACATCCATTGAGTTCACAGATTTCCCAGACCTTTTTCTGAAAATGTGGACACTGACATGGAATGCCCAAAAGTGGAATGGAGCACTAACTGAGGGTTTTGGAGGACTTGGAAAATCAAGAACCTACAGCTTCCATTTAGTTTCCTCTCTCAATGGAAGTAGCTTCTCCCTTGTCTCAAATAATTATTCCTGCCTTTCCTGAGGACCCTGCAACTCTCTAATCTGTAGAAGGTAATTTACAATTGGAATCCATTTCTCTTCATGCCCCGTTACCCCACCCTTCACTTTCTCCAGAATCCTAACTAGAATCGGATTTCCAGTGTGCCCCAAATCTGAGAAGATAAAATCTATGTTACAATAATTGCAAAAATTGTATAAGTTATATTAGGAAAGACATGGTTTATATATGTGCTAATTTCTGGATTCTGAGAGTGTTCAACTAAGAAAGGCACTGCAATTTAATCAACTGAATTTATTAATATAGGTACAATGAACACATTTTTTAAAAGTTAATACACTAGTTCAAGCTGCTGGATCTTATTGTTTCCTTTTATTATTATTATTATTTTCTTTAAGTTCTGGGATACATGTGCAAAATGTGCAGGTTTGTTACATGGATATATATGTGCAATGGTGGTTTACTGCACCTATCAACCCATCATCTAGGTTTTAAGACCCATATACATTAGGTATTTGTCCTAATGCTCTCCCTACCCTTGCCCTCCACCCCCCAACAGGCCTCAGTGTGTGATGTTCCCCTCCATGTGTTCTCATTGTTCAACTCCCACTTATGAGTGAGAACACGCAGTGTTTGGTTTTCTGTTCTTGTGTTTGCTGAGAATGATGGCTTCTAGCTTCATCCATGTCCCTACAAAGGACATGACCTCATTCTTTTTGATGGCTGCATAGTGTTCCATGGTGTACATGTGCCACATTTTCTTTATCCAGTCTATCATTGATGGACATTTGGGTTGGTTTCTTTCCTAACTGACTTACTTCTACATTCAACATTGGCCACAGGAAATAAAGTTGACATTTCATAAATTTCTTGGAATGTTATTAAGAAAGTTATCCAGAGACATTGAAAGACTGTTGAAGTGAATTTTATCATCCACTGACCCTCATACCCAACTATGACCTCTGAAAGGGTCCTCAAAATACTCCCATTACTAAAGCCTTCAAAAATATATTGGTGAAGGGAATCCCAGCATCTTTATAAAGTGTCCAAGTTGTTCTCTGTAGGTGAGAGATGCTGAGGTTGAAATGAGCTCAGTGATTTCAACAAGGATTGAAAGACTCAAGGTGGAACTTCACCACCAAGTATAAGGTGTACATTATTACCAAAATAGATTGCTTGGGTCAGTATGGTAATTAGAATGATCTCACTCAAAAGCTGCAGTTTGCAAACCATAAACTAAGATGCCCAAAGCTCTGCAGCAAAGTCACAGAAGTGGCCCAATATCTTGTAAATGTTCAAGGAAAACACAGTGAAATATACTACATGTACCACTAGCTCAAGATGGTTTACAATTTCCACTTTAGACCATGCTACATTCCTTTCAGTAACATCATATCTTTGAAAAACAGGGTTTTGGTGGCTGCTGTGGTAAAAAGCAGATACTGACATGAAAATTAATGTTGAATAGAAAATGAGGGTGGTAGTTTTTAATGTGATTCCCAGATTTAAAAAGTTAAGTAGTGCCTAACAGGTATATATATTCCACAAGTAAGAAATTAAAATTATTTAAAGATGAAACAAAAATGTACTCTTTTCCTTCAATTTGTGTGTTCTATGTTCTTCATGTACACATCCCATTGATAAGTAGTTGAAGTTATTTAAGAATAAAACGAAAATATTTTTTGTCCATTTTATGCATAGTTCTTTTATATAATCAACAAGTTATTAGGACATAAATATGTATGAAGTTGTTTTAGCCCAACTACTTAATAAATGGAACTTTTAGTTACTTAATTTGACCCAGAGGCACCAAAAAAATTACTGAGACACTATGGACACTAAGACTGAGAAAGTTTAGAAATCTCTGTCTACAGAGATCTTCATTACTGTTACTAAGACCAAACAACTTTATTTTCTTTTTTATTTTATTTTATTTTAAGTTCTGGAATACATGTTCAGGACTTGCAAGTCTGTTACATAGGTAAACATGTGCCATGGTGGTTTGCTGCACAGATCAACACAACACCTGCACACATTAAGCTCTGCACACATTAGATATTTATTCTGATACTCTCCCTACCTTTACCCACCCCTCCCCTCTCCAACAGACCCCAGTGTGTGTTGCTCCCCTTTCTGGGTCTATGTGTTCTCATTGTTCAGCTCCCACTTATAAGTGAAAACATGTGGTGTTTGGTTTTCTGTTCCTGTGTTAATTTGCTGAGGATAATGGCTTCCAGTTCTATTCATGTCCCTGCAAAGGACACGGTTTCTTTCCTTTTTATGGTTGTATAGTATTCCATGGTGTATATGTGCTACATTTTCTTTATTCAGTCTATCATTGATGGGGATTTGGGTTGATTCCATGTCTTTGCTATTTTAAATAGTGTTGCAATGAACATACATGTACCTGTATCTTTATAATAGAATGATTTACATTCCTTTGGGTATATACCCAGTAATGGGACTCCTGGGTCAAATGGTATTTCTGGATCTGGGTCTTTGATAAATTGCCACACTGTCTTCCACAATGGTTGAACTAATTTACATTCCCACAAACAGTGTAAAAGTGTTCCTGTTTCTCCATAGCTTCACCAGCATCTTTTGTGTCTTGACTTTTTAATAATCACCATACTGACTGGAGTGAGATGGTATCTCAATGTAGTTTTGATGCTCATTTCTCTAACGATCAGTGATGTTGAGCTTTTTTTCATATGTTTGTTGGCTACATAGTAGACACAATAAAAAACAATAAAGGGAATATCACCACTGACCCCACAGAAGTACAAACAACCATTAGAGGACGCAATAAACACCTCTAAGCAAATAAACTAGAAAATCTAGAAGAAATGAACACATAAATTCTGGACACATATACTCTTCCAAGATTGAACCAGGAAGAAGTTGAATCCCTGGATAGACAAATAACAGATTCTGAAACCAAAAAAAAAGCCCAGGAATAGACAGATTTATAGCTGTATTCTACAAGAGGTACAAAGAAGAGCTGATATCATTTCTTCTGAAACTATTCCAAATAATTGAAAAGGAAAGATTCCTTCCTAACTCATTTTATGAGGCCAGCATCATCTTGATATCAAAACCTGGCAGAAATACAACAACAAAAAATAAAACTTCAGACCAATATCCCTGATGAACACTGATGTAAAAGTTCTCAATAAAATACTGGCAAACCAAATCCAGCAGTGCATCAAAAAGCTTATCCACCACGGTCAAGTTGGCTTCATCCCCTGGATGCAAGGTTGGTCCAACATATGCAAATCAATAAATGTGATTCATCACATAAACAGAACTAAAGACAAAAATCACATGATCATCTCAATAGATGAAGAAAAGGCCTTTGATAAAATTTAACATCCCTTCATGTTAAAAAGAAACTCTCTGTAAACTAAGTATTGATGGAGCATACCTCAAAATAATAAGAGCCACTTATGACAGGCCCATAGCCAATATCATACTGAATGGGCAAAAGCTGGAAGCATTCCCCTTGAAAACAGACACAAGACAAGGATGCCCTTTCTCACGATTCCATTTCAACATAGTTTTGGAAGTTCTGGCCAGGGAAATAAGGCAAGAGAAAGAAATAAAGGATATTCAAATAGGAACAGAGGAAGTCAAACTGTCTCTGTTTGCAGATGACATGATCCTATATCTAGAAAACCCCATTGACTCAGCCCAAAAGCTTCTTAAACTGCTAAGCAACTTCAGCAAAGTCTCAGGATACAAAATCAATATGCAGAAATCACAATCATTTCTATACACCAACAACAGATAAACAGAGAGCCAAATCATGAATGAACTCCCATTCACTATTGCTACAAAGAGAATAAAATACCTAGGAATAAAGCTAACAAGGAAAGGGAAGGACCTCTTCAAGGAGAACTACAAACCACTGCTCAAGGAAATCAGAGAGGACACAAACAAATGGAAAAACATTTCATCCTCATGGGTAGGAAGAATCAATATTGTGAAATTGCCCTATTGCCCAGCAGATTCAATGCTATTCCCATTAAACTACCATTGACATTCTTCACAGAATTAGAAAAATCTACTTTAAAATGCAAGTGGAACCAAAAAAGAGTCCACAGAGCCAAGACACTCCTAAGCAAAAATAACAAAGCTGGAGGCATCAGAATACCCCACTTCAAACTATACTACAAGGCTACAGTAACCAAAACAGCATAGTAATGGTACAAAAACAGACGCATAGACCAATGGAACAGAATAGAGGTCTCAGCAATAAGACCACACATCCGCAACAAACATCTGATCTTTGACAAACCTGACAAAAGCAATGGGGAAAGGATTTCCTATTTAATAAATGGTGCTGGGAGAACTGGTTAGCCATACGAAGAAAGTAGAAACTGGACCTCTTCCTTATACCTTACACAAAAATTAACTCAAGATGTATTAAAGACTTAAATGTAAAAGCCAAAACTATAAAAATCCTAGAAGAAAATCTAGGCAATATCATTCAGGACATAGGCATGGACAAATATTTCATGATGAAAATGTCAAAAGCAATGAGAGCAAAAGCAAAAATTGACCAAAGGAATCTAATTAAACTAAAGAGCTTCTGCACAGCAAAAGAAACGATCATCAGAGTAAACAGACAACCTACAGAATGGGAGAAAAATTTTGCAATCTATCCATCTGACAAAAGTCTAATATCCAGAATCTACAGGGAACTTAAACAAATTCACAAGAAAAAAAAAAAAAACATTAAAACACGGGCAAAGGACATAAACAGACACTTCTCAAAACAACTTGATTTTATTACATTAAAAGAAACTTCTAGGTCTAGTAAATAGGGGCTAGACTTGGTACTTGTTGAGCCCTTGAATTTTGGAGGCAATATATACCACATTTACACTTGTGTCTGCGACCCAGTGTTAAATGAGACACAGGTCAAGAGACAACTCTTTGGCTGGTCTAGGATATTGTATAAATAGATCTATCACTCTGCCCTTATATGACAAAACAAAAAAACAAAAAAAAAAAACGAAAAAAACCTTATGGGAATCACAACACCTGCAGT